GATAGATAGATAGATAGATAGATAGATAGATAGATAGATAGATAGATAGATAGACAGATAATAGGTAGACTGAAGTGAATGCCTTGTGATATATCTTACAAAGTGCCTTAAGATAGCTAGAAAGGTCCATTATGTCTTCATCAATAATCAAAAGTCTTGTCCTAGGACTGGAAGTCGTAGGAGTTTCTAGGAAGTGTAAATCAGAAGAAATTGAGCCAGACTCAGCAACAGGTGCAAGACAGTGAAATGATTCAGGGCTACACTCCTAGACTCCAGCCTTCTCCTGAGCCCACGGTCCACATTAACTCTCCTCGTGGAGTTACCACGTGTTGACACACGTCGTCTTCCCTTGGTATGTTCTTGACATATAAGCATGCAGCACCTGTCTTTGCAGGGATGTGGATATCACCCACTCATTTGCTCAAACGAACCTTCCAAAGCTCTTGCTAAGAGGGAGACACCATGCTAACTGCATGAATTCCAGCAGAGAAGAGAACTTCACTGCCATCCTGTAGTCTGTGTGAACAACGCAGACTAGCTGGTACTGGTACTGTTTAACTAGTACTGTTGAGAGAAGCAAAAGACTCTGAGACCCAAGGCAAAGATCAGGAGACTAGTCTAAGACAAGTCCTGAGATAAAGGAAACCTTGATACTAAACAGTTCAAGCCGGCTATGATGGCTTTCAACCCAGCACTCAGGAGGCAGAGGCAGGTGGATCTTTATGAGTTAGAGGCCTACTTGGTTTACATAGTGACTTCTGAGTCAGCCAGAGATACACATAGACTCTGTCTAAAAAGAATTTTTTTAATTGAAAAAAAAAAATTCTGCACTTGGGAGGCAGAGGCAGGCGGATTTCTGAGTTCCAGGCCAGCCTGGTCTACAGAGTGAGTTCCGGGACACCCAGGACTACACAGAGAAACCCTGTCTCAAAAAAAAAAAAAAAGAAAGAAAAAGAAAAAAGAAAGAAAGAAAGAAAAGAAAGAGAGAAAAAAAATTCTTAGAGAAGGCACAGTCCAGGCAAGTAGAAGGGCAGGAGGAAAAGCCCGGGGGTAGGAACAAGTGACTAAGGCTGGAACCCACTGAGACAGGAGAGAGGAAGCCAAGAAGTGCCCTCGGGCTTGATCATGTGCTTGGCAAGTGCTCAATACTCAGAAAACCTTTGCTGAATGAATGGACCAATGGGCACATGTCAGCTCTAAGGGCAGTAACGTGTAATTTTGCCTGCTTTGTGCAAGAGACCAGATGACCAGGGTATAAAAATAGAGAATCATAATCAGGTGAATAAGAGTAAATATTCTCTGAGGACAGTGAAAAAATGAAAAGTAAGTCAAAGCCCGGTGGTACGTGCCTGTAATTCCAGCCACTCGGGAGGCCGAGGCAGGGAAATAGCAAATCCAAGGTTAGTCTGTGCTATCCTGTGAGTCCTTCTTCTCAAAATAAAAGTCACAATAATTTGTAGGGACATAGCTCAGTGGTGAAGTGATCGCGTAGCATACACAAGATCCTGGATTCAATCCCTACTTCCCACCCCCTGAAAACTGTAATATTCAAGGAAGCCTGTACTAACCCCCAAAGGAACTGCAAAGCAGCATTCGGAGCACTGAAGCGAAAGGCAGGCTGACGTCATGAGGGGCGGGTTCCAGAGGCAGGATGTGAACTAGACTTTGAATCGGGCCAAGGAATGTGGTAGGTAGAACAGACAGGATAGAGAGCTCTCCGAGAAAATCAGTCGGCATCTTGTTAAACCAACGGAACTGCACTGACGTTAGGACATTACATAAATGCATTCATTCTATGCTCACTTCCCCAGGCAAGGAGGGAGAATCGATCCCACACAAATCACAGAACCTGGGTCCCAATGTGTTTATTTGGGTTTGTCCCCTTTGAAATTCACAAACCTCACCTTGAGTGGAGAATTACCCGTCTTAGCTAATTTTATAGTGAAATTGGCGGATATCTATAAGGGATGTTCTAATTCTCTCACATCCTAGAGTCACACCAGCCCACTATTCATTCTCATTCATATTCTCTCTCTCTCTCTCTCTCTCTCTCTCTCTCTCTCTCTCTCTCTCTGTCGGAGCAATTTCCTCTCTCGTTGGGGCAGCTTCCTCCTGTTTCTGCACCATGTTCATTAAACCCTTTCAGAGGTTCTCTGCAAGCATGTAGCCCGTTATAAGGTCTGTAAGACGTGAGTCAAGCTTCCACCAGCCGCCCAGTGGGCACAGCCTCCATCATTCATCACGCATGCTCTAACCAATGAAATTCGGGCAACTCTAACTCTCAAATGATTCTCTCCTTCCTCAGCACCACTACCTACTTCGTGCCCATACCCTGTCTTCCCTGAATTCACTAAGTTATACCGAGGTTCATTTCTATTCTTTCCTGTTTGGTTTTTTTTTTTTCAAAGGATGCTGGGAGTTGAACCCAGGGCCTGCCATATGCAGCATGTTACCAACATACTGCTCCCGGCTTTTTGGTTTTGATTTTTTTTTAACATCCCTTCTGAGAATCTCTCTGATGTGTTGATCTACTTTTCCATAACTCCCAAACACCCTGATTAAAAAAATAAAAAATTTTTAAAAAGGTTATGAATAGGTTTCCCCAACCCAAACATAACAGAAGACCCCATTTCTTTTTTCTTTTTTCTTTTCTTTTTTTTTTTTTTTGAGTTCCCTAATCAGAATGCCCTGTCCAACTCTGTAGGTACTCCCTGCCCCCCTCCCACTTTAGGTAGTATCCTTTTTAGGTTTTTTGTTATTATTTTATTATAATAACTATTTTTAACAGTTCATGAAATTATTTAATATTAAACATATAAAAACCGTATTTTCTTTTTTTTTCCGAGTTAAAATAATTTATTTTGGCACTGTCTACATCAATCATTACTGCCTGAGACCCAAGTAGCTGAATCAAGAAGAGAGAGCAAAGAAGTTAGGTCAACTAGGAACCTCAGGCTCCACACTCTGAGTCATTCTTTTTAGGAATATACCATTCTTTTTTAATTTTTATTGGATATTTTATTTATTTACATCTCAGATGTCATCCTCTTTCCCTATTTCCCCTCCCTAGAACCAAAAATATGGAATGCTTCACAAATTTGTGTGTCATCCTTGCGCATGGGCCATGCTAATCTTCTCTGTATCATTCCAAGTTTAGTATATGTGCTGCCAAAGCAAGCACATAATAATAATTATTATTGTGTGTGTCAATGTGTGCCCTGCATGTGTGTGTCTGTGTGTGTGTGTGTGTGTGTGTGTGTGTGTTTTTATACAGGCTTGAGTCCAAGCATATATCCAAGACATGGCACTCATTAAGGTCAGAGGACTCTGGGAGTTTGTCTCCTTCCTCCACAGGATCCGGTAATTAAACTCCAAATCTCATACGCACACAGCAAGAGCTTTGACAGTGTAGCTATCTCCCTCATTCTCTAAGTGGGATCTTGTTGTGTAACCTAGGCTGGCCTCAGAGATGTGGCAGTCTTCCTCTCTCCTGAGATTTACCCTCCGGGACTCAACTCCAGCAAAGCACAGGGATGTGTATGGACAATCTTGGGAGTTCAACTGGGCATTATGGTTTACTGTAATCCTCGTACTCCAAAGGCTGAGGAACGAGTTCAAGGCCAGCATGGGCTACAGAGTGAGGTTCTGACTGAGTTTCTCCTTCTCCCTACCCAAAAAGGACAAGAAAAAGATTAAATTCTGTAAAATTCCCTTTGACCTCTGAGTAAGATACAATGTTTTTTTTCCTGAACAGATCCTATGACCTCTCAGATAAAACTTTAATTTACTTTTGCTACTTATGTGTAATTAATAGTAGATACATTGACTTTACATCTAATTGATTATGTAATGGACATATTTATATCTCCATTTTTGTTTTATGTTTGTTTGTTGGTTTGTTGGTTGGATGTTGTTTGGTTGCTTGCTTTTGTTATTGTTTTGTTTCTCGCTGGCTTTTTTTTTTTTTCAAGACAGGGTTTCTTTATGTAGCCCTGACTGTCCTGGAACTCACTCTGTAGACTAGACTGACCTCGAACTCATGAAGATTTACCTGCCTCTGCCTCCTGAGTGCTGAACTTATAGGTGTGTACTACCACTACCCAGCCCCCCTTTTGGTTTCTGTCTGTTTTGAGGCAGGATCTCTCTATGTAGTCCTTTAGACTGGCCTGGAACTCACAGGAGTCCTCCGACTTCAGCCTCCTGCTAGAATTATACAGATGGGCCAACACATCTGGGTTTTCCCCATTTTTTTTAATTGATTCTTTGTGAATTTCACACCATGTACCCCAATACCACTTATCTCCCCATCCCTTTATATCATATCTGCCCTCTGCCCTTGCAACCTCCCCCCCAAAAATAAATAAATAAATAAATAAAACTATGCATAGAAAGCATCTCCCTGCCGGGTGGTGGTGGCACACACCTATAATCCCAGCACTTGGGAGGCAGAGGTAGGCGGATTTCTGAGTTCGAGAGTTCAAGGCTAGTCTGGACTACAGAGTGAGCTCCAGGACAGCCAGGGCTACACAGAGAAATCTGTCTTGAAAAAGAAAAAAAAAAAAAGAAAAAAAAAAGAAAAAAGAAAACATCTCCCTGTGGGAGCTACGATGTATCTCACTGTGTCTCACGGTGCACTCTTTTGTCCACTCATCTAAACTTGCAACTGTTCATTGCAATGTGTCATTGGTCTGGTTCAAGGGCGCTGGCTTGTGCTACTCTATCAATACTGGAACCTCACTGGGACTCTAAGATATCCTGTGTCATGAAGCTCCTGCAGCTTTGGATCTGTAGGACTGGCCCTATTACATACTCCAGCAGTTCACAGGTGAGATAGAGTTTGGGGTGGGTCAACTCAAAGCCCTGGATCTGGGCCTGGGTGGTAGCTGAGTTAGTCAGCCCATGGGCTCTCCCGCATGGGCACCACCCGCGTGAGCTCTCCAGAAATGCTCTGCATAGCCCACCAATGCTGCAGCCAGCAAGAGTCAGGGGCAGCTCTCCCACTCTGGTGGCCTTGGGTGGCTCACCGGCACCCAGGACAGCAGGGCCAACTCTATGTTCTGCGCAGTGGAGGTGTGTTGGGGGTGGGGGATGGGGCACTCTCCAGAATGCTGCAGCCAGTGAGGGGCTGGGCCAGCTCTCTCACGCTCACAGCCTTGGGGCTGGCTCCCTGTGCCTTTGCCATCAAAGCCAGTTCTACTGTGCTGCCCAGGCAAGGTGCAGGGCCCGCTCTCCGGAATGCTGAGCCTGTGAGGGGCAGGGCCCACTCTTCTCCATTCTTAATATATTATCAGTAGACATTTGTTAGTTGCAACAATCCCACTTTATTTATGTGTGGCTTCACCTTCTGCAATTTCAAACTGAAGTTCAAAACAATAAATGAAATGTTCCAGAAATAAGTCATTAATAACTTCCAAGGAACTTGTGTTATGTAGTATATTGGTTATAACTGTTTCATTTTGTTAGTGGTAATTAGTATCTTGTTGTGTACATTTTTAATTAAACTTTAATTAAACTTATGAATTTATATGTATAATAAAAACAAAGTATTTACAGCACAGGGCTTGATAATTTCTATCTACAGTTTCTAGAATTGCACCATCTTGGAACATCTCCTTGTTGGATAAGGAGTGATGACTATATTAACCAAGAAATTTCAAAGGGTTTTTGTTTTGTTTTGTTTTTATTGTTGATGATGATTGGTTGGTTGGGGCTGGGGGCTTTCCTTTAGTTTAGGGTTGGGAAAGGTTTGGGGTTTGTTTGGTTTGTTTTTAGGTTTTGTTGGCTGGGTTGGTGCAGAGGCAAGTCTCCATACATAGCTCAAGCTAACCTACCTCTGTGTTTTCCCCACCCCCACCAGCCGTGAACTTTTGACGATCCTTGTGCGTCAGCTTCCCATGTGCTGAGATTACAGCCTGAACCATCATATCAAACTCTATTATATGATTGCAACAATGTTACACATTCCTGCATTACACAACCATCACCAGACCAGGAGCTATGCTCAGCCTTTCTGGAGAAGAATTAAAAATCAGAGGACAAAGAAATCACTAGCCAAACATCCCAAGGTCACGAATCCCAAGGTTCCCTTAGCCAAGGAGTCTCTTGATTATCAGGATCCTGATGGCGCCTGTCTCTTGTGAGCTTTTCTTGACAGTGAGCGATGATCTTACAGATAGTCTTATCTGTGCAGACTCATCTAACTTGACTGACAAGAAGTTCTGGGCTGGAGAGACATACAGTTCCCCCAGTCTGTCTGGTATACTTTTCCACGACTCACCTGTCCGTGAGTGTCACAGATACTTGGCTCAAAGCACTTGTGACATAATGACAGACAAGAGACCGTAACACCAAGCATCTGACTTGAAGCAATCAGAACATATTCTTGCCATCGTTTCAGAAATGCAGGTTGCCAGGAGGTGTGAAAGGTAACATGTGAACAAGCTAGACAATTTCATTTCACACTAGGAAAAAAAGGGTCGCCACTCTCTGGTGAGGTGAAATTTGTACTCAGGGGTTTGTGAATACTTGCCCTGTTCTTCAAGGGAACCTCATCCACTATATCCGCCATATGTATCTTCTTCCAGCCTCACCCCTGTCCTCTGCCCACTCTGACAAAACAGAACATGTTTCCCTGCCATCAGCATCCCCTGCCTTCACCCCTTCTGTCTTCCAGGTCCCTATTCCTGTCCCCCTCCTCCACCCAGCCAGGAAATGTTCATCTTATATCTATGAATTTCAGAATCCTTTTTAATAGGTCAGGGGTCTCAGCTTTGCCTTCAAACCTGTCTACACCACAAGACAGTCACCTTCTGAGTGGCCTGTCTCCTACCTTTGGCATCTATGTGCTCACATAACTGCCCGTCCGAGGACAAAATCTGACATGTGACAGATAATTGTTAAGTATTAAATGGAAGAAAAAAATTAAAGATGAATGAATTGAATCAATGTTGTTTATCATCATTCCTAGACAGGATACTTTGAGGAAAACATACAAAGAATTTCTAAAATGTCTTTTTAAAATGATGCCTTTTGGATAATTCCTCCCCTGACATATCAAAGAGGATTCTGGTATTTTCTAGTAGACGTGAGAGACTCTGAGACCAAGTACTAAAGCCTTCTGAAGCACTGTGTCTTCTCATTCCCAGCTCTGAACTCAAATGTCAGCTATCACATGGCACCCGGGATGCTTCTGAATGTAAAGAAGCAAGACTCTTCATACTTCTCCGAGGTCAGCTTAACCAGGTACGGTCCAAAAAACGATGTCTGGCCATGGTGTAACTTGGGGCTTATAACCTTGCCATATTCACCAGCAGTGCTAAACTCCGTAAACCTGTTTCCCATGACTCCTGATGGGTTCTGTCAGTCTAGCCTTCATAAGGACAAATATGGAAGGAGTCTTCCATAGAAAGGCAAAGGCTGGGGACACAGCGTTGTACGAAACTTTGTATAATGTTCCATTCCTTCTTCTTCCTCAAAGAGAGAGGGCAGGAAAGTGTGCTAGATGACCCCCGAGGTTTGCAAGACTTTATACTCTTATGTCCCTAGCATAATAGAAAATGAAACTCTTTTTTCTTTTCCTCCCAGTGCATGGGAAATCCTGAAGACAGCCCTAAAAAATAATAATAATAATACTAGAAATAATGATTTACAAATGTTAAAGCAATATTAGACCCCAGAGTAAGACACAGGTCAACCTGGGCTACATTGTAAGAACATGACTCTAAGTAAGCCAACCAACCAACCAACAAACAACATGTGTATGTGCGGTTGACAGCTGAAATTTTCAATTTATTTCCATTGAATTGGGGTTTTTTTGTTGTTTTGTTTTAAGAGCAGCCTAGACTTGCCTCAACCCAAGATCCTCCAATGTCTATGTCATGAGTGCTGGGGTTACAGACATGAACTAAAATCCCTAGATCACTTAAATAGAGGTCCACCTCAGCACTTGAAAGGTAAAGGCAGGAAGATGAGGAATTCAAAGTCACCCTTAGCTACAGAATGAGTTTGGGGCTAGCCTGGGCTACATGAGATCCTATCTCAAAAGAACAAATAAAATGATGAGCATTAACTAAAAAATAAAATAAATAAAAAATGCTCTCAAGCAGAAGAAATACAAACTTTCAAGCAATATAAGGCCCAGAGACCTCCATTCCGAGGTCTCTGAACACATGTAATTATCAGGCAAAGGACCTACAACCCAGCTCATAGGTCAGCACACCACAGCGGCACATAGCTCTCTGGAATCTAAGACAGAACTTGACCTGACGTTCCTCTAACTCATGAGCTATTGAGACATTTCTTCAAATGCTACCACAGCCAACACCTCAAATGGGCAAGAGCTTCCAACTTGCCAAGCGATTTCTGATTGGACTTAGAGACTTGGAGGGGAAAGTGCAGAAGGCATACGACAGTCTGGAACTTTCTCTGTCCCTCCCTCTTTTTCTGTCCAGAGGTTGAAACAGGAGGCTGGAAGGCTATTCATACCCTGTTAACAAGAGACAAAGAGCCCTGGCTGCCCCATTAGTCATCGCTCAGAGGTCTTGCCTTCTAACTTCCAAGACTGCCTTACCCCCAAGTGACTTCTCCTTAGTGCTATTTACGAACTGGAACGTGACCCTCTGGGGAGGCAGGCCGAGGGCATGCAGAGGACATGAATGGGGCATGAAAACTGTGTTTCTACTTGGGGCTGGCATTTGGGTTCTCAGGAGTATAGATGGCAGAGAAAGCATTGGCAGTGGTGGTTATTTAGGGCATAGCTCTCTAGAGAGGAAAATTCTTGCGACTGGAGTGAGAAATGTAAAGATACCCAGATAGAAAAGCACTGGGCTTCTCTTCCTGGGAAAGAGCCACAACCAGGCTTGCTAATGATGGCTCCAGAACTGCAGTGGTTTCTGCTCTTACTGGATCGTATACATGTTTTTTTTTTTCTATCCCATTTTGTCTCTTTCTAACATTATGTGAAAATTATACAGACACATGGGTCCCCTTCCCAGCCCCCTTTTTAAATGTGTGTGGAGGTCAGAGGTCAGAGAGTCAGGGGACAACCTTCCTGTTTTCCCCTCTGTCCTTCCTCAGAAACCATCCAGCTTGCTTTTTAAGACAAGCTTTCCCACTGTCCTGGGATTTGCCACTGACACTAAACCGGCTAGCCATTGAGTCCCAGGAAACCATCTGTTCTCAACTTCCTCAGGGCTGGGATCAAAAGCATGTGCCTGGTTTCTTTTTTGACAGCAGCTTCTGAGAATTAGATTCAAATTCCCATGCTTATGCAGAAAGAATTTTACTAGCTGAGATATCTCCCCAAACCCTTACTGTCCTTTTTGAGACAAGGTCTCAAGCAGCCCAGGCTGGCCTTGAACTTACTCTGTAGCTAGAAATATCTGTGAACTCCTGATCCTCCCACCCTACCATCTCTAGCCCAAAAACATGAGGACCTGATTTCGAATCCCCCTGTACCCACATAAGAAGCCAAGTGTGGTCATGTGTGCTTTCAACTCTATTGTGGTAGGAAAAGTGGAGACAGGAGGATTGCTGGAGCTTGCTGGCAGCAAACCTAATTTCAGGCTCAGTGAGAGATGCTGTCTCAAAGGGGATAAAGCAGAGAGTATACACTGGCTATTACTACTGTGCATCGGGTGATTTACAAACCCCATCCACAAACCGTAATTACCTAGGGAAGGCTCTGCAGTCACCCCTCCTTGCCGCTTCTCCTAATGCTAGAGCCAATGTTCTGGCCACATCTCCTTCTTGCCCAAGGAGAGTCTCACCAACCACACGGCATTTAGATGTCTCTTAGCACTGCCTCGTAAACAGAATGTTGAGTGTAACATTGAAGTGAAAACAACTGTTTTCTTGGGTAGAAACTTCTGGGAGGCGGGGGGGGGGGTCATCCTCGGGAAGGGAGCAGAGGAAACTGACTTGTTGAAGTCCCTTCTGAAAGTGGGTGCTTTCCATTACTCCTCTCACAGAATTATCACAAATGCCCTTTGACTTCCTCCTCAGCAGCCCCATTTTCCAGATGAGGACACTGAGCCCCAAAGAGGATAGACAAGGACATACAGGCGGTACCAGAGACAGGGTGTGTGGCCCAGTAGGAACCAGCATTCTTCCCAAGTCACAAAGTTACCACTGTTGATTTGCTCAGGACCTGACGTCTTCGTTGTTGTTGTTGTTGTTGTTCTTGTTGCTGTTCTCCACCAGAAATAAACCTGCTCCCCAAGAGTGTTTCAGCCACTTCAAGAGGATTGGAAGGGGGGTGTTTTATTATTGCCCTCTGGCATATCTGAGACTCACTAAGTTGGAGAGACCCTATAAAAACCCACGTGCTATATCATGCTATGGTCCAGCTGTTTGACAAAGCCACCAGTTCTGCCCCTGCCCCCCCACCCCCACACACACACACTTCTATTTTCTTCCCTGTCTCTCTTCTAGGACTTGAAGCATGACTCCCTCACAGATACTGAAATTCCAGAACTGTGTGACTTCATTTAGAAGTAGGGTCCATGGTGTTATACATCTGTAATCCTCGAATTCAGAAGGCTGAGGCAGGAGGATTACTGCAAGTTGGAGACTAACTGGAGATCAAGCTGGAGTCTAGAGAGAGAGAGACCCTGTTTATACATACATACACACACACATACATACATATACATACATACATACATACATACATACATACATACATAGAAAAGAGGAAAAGAATGGGCCTCTAGTAAGTAAATAATCAAGCTGAAATGCAGTGACTATGGTTAGCTTAATCCAAGAGAATGAACACAGGAAAACCTGGATACAAAGACAAACACAACAGGAAGACACAGAGACGTTGCATCTAGAAGGCAAGGATCCCAGAAACCAAAGAGACAATCTCCCTCCCAGTCCTTAAAAGAAATGGACGGCTTCCTAAAGACATTGACTTCCCATTTCAGCCCACAGAATAGAGAGACATACGTTCCCACTGGAGCCACCCATTCAGTGGCCCCTCATTCCGGGTCCCCTCATCCACTCACCTCTCTTCTCCCTGGGCTAGTTTGGCTCCACAGCTTACAGGCTTGCCTGAATGCTAAGTGATTTTGAAAAGCCTTTGGTTCCCTTAAGGAAAAAGGATGGTCTTTCAGCCCTCCCCACATCCTGAAGTAAATCCCGTAAATTCCCAGCAATCTAAGTTCCCAATTAGTTTGACTTTGGTCCAGATGCCCAGGAAGAGGGAACCCAGGACCAGGGGAAGGAAGACTGAACAGTATTAGAAGACCTGTGTACCTTTTTGTCAATCTCTTACCTGTTTTCATCTGCTAAGCAGAAACGAACTGCCATGGCACGCTATCTAGAACGCTCTGTTTTCACAGAGACAGTTTAATGCTGTCCCTCACTGACCTTTATGCATCCTTCATCACTGTCACATGGTCAGGATCCAACAAAGCCTCACTGGGAGAATTACAAAATTAATCTAAAACTTCAAAGCATTCATCAAGCTTTTATCAAAAATTCTCCTGTGTCATCTTGACCGAATGTCTCAGACATTCTAACTACAGCCAGGAATAAGGCATAAATCACTGTCGTTGCCAAGAAACATCATATTGATTTCAGTATTTAATCATTTCTTGTTGGAAGGATGCCTGAAGGGGAAGAGTTTTAATGCATTCTTGTAACACACCATAGATTTCTACTTTTAGTTCTTTCAAATAGGGTAGCATACAATTCTAGTTTACTTGACAAAGCAGGATTGCTTTATTTTATCTTGGTATGTTAGCCTAGCTGTCCTGGAACTTATTATGTGTCCAGGCTAACCTCTGCCTCCCAGGTGCTAGGATTAAATGCAGGTGCCACTGTTCCAGGCTTGACCAGTTTTGTTTTGTTTTTTGATTTTTTTTTTTAGGTGGTGCATCTTGCTCAAGCTGGCATCGAACTTGAGATCTTCCTGCCTTAGCATCTCAAGTGCTAGAATTACATGTGTGCATAACCTCACCTGACGTCAGCCAGCCACCGTGAGTCCAATACAGTGGCAAGCACTTTTCTGGCACAGGGGCGAGTACATGACTGTCTCCATTCTTCTACCGATTGTTGTAGTCAAATGGGGAGAGACAGCAACCAAAATATATAAAATTCAGTTTCAGGTCAAGGTAAGTATTACTGGGGAAGATAATATCTATATCTTTTCCTTATACAGTAATGTTCACAGAAGGTGGAAGGCCCAGTCCATTGCAGGTGGTATCATCCCCGGGAAGCTGGTCCTGGCTTCTATAGGAAAGCAGGCAAAGCAAGCCATGGGGAGCAAGCCAGTAAGCAGCACTTTTCCGTGGCCTCTGCCTCAGCTCCTGCCTCCAGGTTCCTGCCCTGTTTGAGTTCCCGTCCTGGCTTCCTTCAGTGATGAACAGTTGATAAAAAAGCAAAAGCCAAATAAATCTTTTCCTCTTCAAAGTGTTTTTGGTTGTGATGTTTATTAGAAACAGTAACCCTAAATAAGACAGATGGATAAATGGATGGATGGATGGATGGATGGATGGATGGATGGATGGGTAGATGGTGGGGGAGAGATGGAGGGATGGAGGGGTGGGGGATGGGTGGGTGGGTGAGTAGTTGGATGAATGGGTAAATGAATGAATGGGTGGACATAAACATGGTTGGACAGATAGTTTGAACTTAATATTCACTTTATCCCTAGGTAATCATGTATATTCGTCAATGAAAAGTCAATGGAGTCATATTGTAGAGGTTTGGTTTGTTGCTATGTGTTGTAATGATAAATTCTATACCCGAAGGTCTAGGCCTACAAGAATGGGAAGAGAAAGGATGCCACTATTGAGGGAGTCGGATGATGAGTGCATGACCAGGAGAAAATAACCATCGTCTCAGTCTCATTTATTTGTAAGCTAGTCAGGAATAAGCTTAATTTGGTTGCACTACACCATATCTTGAGGTGGAAGCCTACCATCTCAACTGCTCAAAAGACTAAGGCAGGAAGACAAAAGTTCCAATCCCTGCCTAAAACTGGAAAGTTACCTGAAAGCCAGCCTGGGAGGGCAGTGGTGGTGCACACCTTTAATCCCAGCAACTCAGGAGGCAGCAGCAGGTGGGTCTTTGAGTTAGGGGCCAGCCTGGTCTACAGAGTGAGTCCCAGGACACCAGGGCTACACAGAGAAACCTTGTCTCAATCAAAACAAAACAAAACAGCCTGGGAAACTTAATGAGATCCTGTCTCAAAATAGGAAGTAACACAGGGGACACAGAAATACCTCGGTGACAGAGTACCTGCCTAGCATGTGCAAGACACTAAGGACAGTTCCCAGAAGAGGTAAATAGAAACGCCGTTGGTTCAAGTATGCATTCGGTGAGCCTCCACTGCGTGCTAAGGGGTCAAAATGAGTCTGGGGGGGAAGAGACTAAGGATAGGGTCAACTTAGGTATTATGTGTTTATGAACGTGTCGCAACGAAGCCCCCAGTTGAGTAGAATTTTTATGCACTATAAGTAAGATAAAGAGCCTACGAGTTAAATTTGAGCCAAATCTCAAATAGATTGTGTGTTCTAAAAAGGTGTTCTAAACGGGGAAGAGCGTAGGCAGAAGTCTTGGCATCCCGCAGTCCTGTGAACCTCAAGACCCCATTTTGGAATATACTGGTCCACAGGCAGGATGAAAGTGAGGCAGGAGCCACACGCTGGCCGGCCTCCTCGGCATGACTTCTCACCATAAACCCATCAGTTCTAAAAGTCACTGAAGCTGGATGGTTGGGGGCACTGACGTCCTTAAATAAGCGGTTGCCTAGAAACCTTGTTTGGCACAAATGTATCCTCCCACTCTCGGAGACTGTTTCCACTCCGGAGGTGTCAGGTTCCCAGTCTTCCCAGGACAGAACCACAGAGCACAAGAAGCCTCAGCCCCACAAGTGTTGTTTTGTCTGCTAATCCCAGATTCAAATCTTAGTTGCTCCTCCAGTGCAGCCCACGCTGCCACAAACCTGCTGTGCCAGTTCAAGCTGGTTGGATGCAGAGTCCGGAAGCCTCAGACCCTGTTGGAAGTGGGGGGGGGGGGCCCGGCCCGAGCGCTCTTCCTGTCTGTCCAGTGCCACCCACGTTGAAATGCAGTTTATCCTAAGGTGCTTGTCTTCACCTCTCACGAAGAGAAAGAAGGGCTCCGTGGGTTTTATTTGCTCAGGAGCCCTCAAATCTCACTGTGCCGGACATTAAAAAATAAATCCATTTTTTTTCCAATCTAAAGAAATATGTATATACTGTAGAAACAGAGAAAGTCAGAGTAAAAAAAATAGACTTTAAATGATTGTCATGCAAGATGACTGCTAAGTTTTGAAGAAGCACCTGTTAGCCTTGTAAACCAACGCATACGTGAATCAATCCCAACACTCAATATCTGCCAGTGTCTGAAGCACTAATGTGCTCAATATATTCAAGAAGTACTGTGAGTGTGATGACACTCTAATCCCAGCACTGGAGACTAAAGTGAGTCCCAGGCTAGCCTAGGCTACATGAGACCCTATCTCAAAAACACAAAAATAAATGAATGAATGCTATTTCCTTTTTATACATTGAAAATCATATCCATAAGTAGTATCTGAATATGTAGACAAGCAAGTGGCACATATTAATAATCCCAACATTTGAGCCGTGGAGACAAGTAGGATCAGGAATTGAAGGTCAGTTGCATTACACAGCTAATTAGGGCCAGCCTGGGCTACATTTTATGGTACCCTGTCTCAAAAACAACAAAATACATTTGTGTATGCTGGTGCATACCTTTAATCCTAGCACTTAGGAGGCAGTGGCAGGTGAATTGCTGTAAATTCAAGGCTGGCCTGGTCTACAAAGAGAGTTCCAGACCAGCCAATACTACACAGTGAAACCTTGTGTCAAAATAATAACACTAATAAAAAGCTGGATAAATGGTGAGTATTATAAGATAGTGTATGGATTTTTAAGCGTTTTTTAAAAAAACAACCAAATACTGCCTTATGACATAATTCCTTTCGCTGTTGTTTTGGCATTTTGAAGGCCAAATAGAGATTGAGTAGCCCAGGTTGACCTAGAACTGGCTATAGAGTGGATGTTGACCTTGAATTCTTGAGAACTTATTTGGAGGTTCTAGCAGGGGAACACAGCCATTCACATATCCTTAATGAAGGACGGGTCCCCTTCTAGTCAAGGAGTCTCTTCATCTTCCATGGACAAGTAGCTTCAGGGAGGACACACATGGAGCTGTGAGGGAGGAACAGAGCACCCGCCAAGTCAGCCAAGACCACCCTGGCATCAGTTGGGTGACAGAAGTTGCATCTAGATCAGTCTCACCTCCTGGCCTTGGAGTTCAGATCCTCCAGAGTCACCATGCCTGATCAAAGAATATGACCTCTAAGGTTTCTGGTATCGTTCAAAGTTCACAAACTTTGCAAACTGCAACAATAAGCCTGAGGATAGTTTTCCTTTAAGAAAAAAAAATTTAGTTTATCGTCTTTTATCTATTGATTTCATGTCTAGGAATCTAGCCTAAGGGATCAGAATTGTAAATAAAGAATTATGTGCTGGATGTTCCCGCAGGTTGATATTAAACCATAGCGCCGGTCCTCTTTGATGGAGCTTGTCACCGTCATCCTTCATATCACAGAGAGACCTGCTCGCCCAGCTTCCCCGGCCATCACTGGATTAAGCGCCAGCTCCCTTGCTCTACCATCTCCACCCGGCTCAGAGAGGTAGCTTAATCACTGGTGTTCCAGGATCTTTCTGTTTCTCCAGCCACATGTGTTCTGAGCACACGTTCTATCCCGATGCTGCTGCTTTTCTGCATCCATGTGATATGTGGACTGACATGGGGTTTGTCTTTCTTTTAGACACAACTTGCATGAACTATAATTTGAATTATATTGTCTATTGTTAGTGAGACTGTCTCAAGTTCATGCCTCAAACATGCACATGGCCATGCACAGGGAAGCTTCTTTGCTTTGGGGGGTTAGCTGTGGGTCTGAGTTTTGCTCTGTTTCCTTGAGAGGCAGGGTACAACCCATGGCCACACATGCTAGGCAAGTGTTCTCTACCACAGAGCTGTACCTCCATCTCTGTTTGGTTTGTTGTTGTTGTTTATTTTGGTTTTGTTTGGTTGGTTCGTTGGTTGGTTTGGGGGTTTTTTGTTGTTGTTTTGAGCCTAAGTCTCATGTAGCCCAGGTTACCCTCAAGCTCACGACGTAGCTGAGAATGACCAGGAACTTATGATCCTTTAACTTCAACTTCCCAAATGTTGTTATTATAGACACGTGCTGTTGATCCAGGTTTACAAGATGCTGGGCATTGAACCCAAGCCTTTATGCAAGCCATTCTATGAGCCAAGCTATATTCCTAACTTTTGTGTGTGTGTGTGTGTGTGTGTGTGTGTGTGTGTGTGTGTGTTCCTATGCATATGTATGTATATGTGTGTGCTTGTGTGTATATATGTGTTTATATGTATCTTTGTGTATATATGTGTTTGTGTGTGTGTGATGGTTTGTATATGCTCAGCCCAGAGAGCAGCACTATTAGAAAGTGTGGCCCTGTCGAAGTAGGCATGGCACTGTGGATGTGGGCATTGAGATCCTCATCCTAGCTGTTTGGAAGTGAGTATTCTACTAGCAGCCTTCAGATGAAGATGTAGAACTCTCAGCTCCTCCTGCACCGTGCCTGCCTGGATGTTGCCATGCTCCCACCTTGATGATACTGAACTGAACCTCTGAGCCTATAAACTGGCCCCAATTAAATGTTGTCCTTATAAGAGTTGCCTTGATCATGGTGTCTGTTCACAGCAGTAAAACCCTAACTAAGACAATGTATATGTATGTGTTTGTATGTATATGTGTGTGTTTCTGTGTATGTGTGTGTATGTGTATGTATGTATATATGTGTTTATGTGTATGCATGTGTGTGTATATATGTATATATGTGTGTATGCATGTGTGTGTGTATGTGTTGTGTGCAGTATATACACATATGTGCTTGAATGTATTCTCCTGCACAGGCTCATGCATGTGTAGGCCCGAGGCTAATATTGAGGTGTCCTCTTCACGGTTCTCAAATATATACATTGCACTGGGAAGCTCCCTTGGTTTGGGGGTTCAGCTGTGGGAATGTGGTTTGCCCTGTTTAGTTGTGCGCTAAGGCTACAGCCCATGGCCACGCACAAGTGCTCTACCGCTCAGCTTCACCCTTCCTTCACCTTGGTTTTTCAAGACAGGTCTCTCATTGAACCAGGAGGAGCTCAACATTTCAGCTAGACTTGTAGCTAGCCACGGAGACCTAGGAGCCACCTGCCCCTGCCCCCCAGCACTGCGGCTGCAGGCACCTTCTGCCACACCTGG